GACTCTCCTTGAGGGAAAGTCACAGGATCGAACCTCGGTGGTAGGGTCTTGACTCTTTAAGTTGCAATAGATAGAGAAAGTATAGAACATATACTACCTTGTAATAGAGTCAATAGTATTCAAAAAAATTGTATTGGTTCTTGAAAAGATTTATTTGACCAAATTTTAAACAATTTAAAGATCAAATTAATTGAAATTAAAAATTATAGATTATATTAACAATTGGAAAATAATTGAGTGATCAAAATTGTATTAAGTTTAGAAAAAAAATGGCAGTATGCCTTTCCAGCTCAGTTAAAAAGTAAACACAACTTTTACAGCTGCCCTTTTTGTTTTCTCCTCAATTTTGCTTTTTCCAAACATGAAAATCTTGGGATTTGTTTTCATGTTTCCCCATTGTTATTATTGTCAATTTTGACCTTGATTATCCAATGAAATAGTTCCATAAATTATTTTAATTTTTTGTTCAGTGAATTGAAGAAGATACAACCACTTTCATAATTTTCACAAAAAGCATGCACTTAATATACATTAATTTATAATAAAAAAAATTACACCATAATTTCGAAAATCTCCATTGTTCATTCTCTAAAAAATAGTGGAGTACTCATAATTAACAAGGTAAATATTATGTTTTCAAAAAAATAAAATAAATAACAAGGTAAATATTATACTTTTTTGTAGTATATGTTCATAAACTATTTTCTCAATCAATTGAAGCACAACACAAAGAGTCAATATTGACTCCACTTAGGTTTGAACTTACTCCCTTCCATAATAGGAGTGCAACCCGGGTGCCATTAAACCACAAAGATCTTGGCAATTTTCAATCTCTGTGGTCAAGCGGTATGGAGTGACTCTCCCAAATGAAAGGTCATGGGGTTCGAGCCTCAGTGGAATATAATCCCAAATGAGGCCCCCAAGTCCTAATGTATAGTGGATTACATTTCACTATTCCACTCAAAAATTACAAAACATAAAGATAAAAAAAAATAATAAGAAGAACTATTGCCAATCAAATACTAGTGTTGGGTCTAAGAGAATCTCTTCAATTTATTCAAGTTAAAAACGAGTGCACAAGCATTTAAACTCCCGATTGACAGAACGAGTGCGTGCGCATTTAAAAAAGTAACGAGAGCCCTCTGGATTAGACTTTAAGTTAATAAAAACTAGTGATACAAATTAAGCATATATGCAAATTATAATTCCAATTGACAAAGAACATCGCACAAATTTACATATGTTAAAAAAATGAGAGACAAAATGATTATATGAATACAAGTTGAAAGCAAATTGACTATTTAGATCAAGTTGTTGGTAGCTAAAGTAGTCAAAAAATGTTAAGCCTAGTAGAGTCAAAGCAGCAAGTTGGAAGGCATTGATTTTGTTGATAGGCAACTCAATCAAAGAAAATTCCAAATCTGACTTTAACAGACACTAATTAATATAATGTGACACTAATCTCATATACTATTAGTATTAGGTAAAAGGCTACAAATTGGGCAATGCAAATCCTAGTGTCACCACCCAATTAAACTCAGCAACTCCATCCCAGTATCCAAATCAGACCGCAAATTCAGCACATATAAAATGTTTTAAAAAACAATTAATTATTTAGTTTAATTTAATAGAGAGAAACTGTCAAGAGAATATATATCCTTTTCAAACGATAACATCATCATTCTTAACCAAACTTTAGCGGTTCGATAATTGATTTTGGGTATGGAGACATAAAGCAGCCTTAAATCTCTAGATCAGTTATCACATTTTTAGAGATGCCTACAATGAAATTAGTCACTGTGTCAGAAGATAAAAACTCTAAGTTACATACAAAAAACAATTACATAAACTTGTAGTATAACTTTGCATTATGTATATCATTGTATCCTGGTCACATTTTTAGGTTAATCAATAATACCGGTTCTAATCGGGTATTAGTCGCCTAGATTTTCTTCTTTATGGCTACCTCTACGACTCTGCCAGTGTTTCTTCCGTGCGGACCATTTCTGATGCGGCTGCTGTTTCTTTGTTATTGGCTACAAATTCCTTGTCTACTACTGTTCATCATTTTGAGTATCAAACTGACGAATCGGAATTTTTTGTTTTGACGAACTCAACTTGTTCTTTTTTTTAGGTGGGCAAAATTTATTGGGCTACATGGATGGTTCCATTCCTTGTCCACCGCCGTCGATGCTTCTCCTTCCGGCCGGACTCTCAGACACTTGTAATTCTAGTTGTACTATTAACTCTGCATTGTATCCTGGTCACGTTTTGGTTAATCAATAATATTGGTTCTAATCCTTACAACAAAGTTGTTACATATACACCTCTTTCTTCTGTTTTAAGTAAGAATCGAGCCCTGCATTCAACGCTAAATGTCAAGAGAATGTTGTTTTCAAAATAATAGCAAATAGAGGTTTGGCAAATTGTAGTGCCCTAAATTCCCAACATGAGCAATCAGAAAGTGAATCAGCCCACGTGATTGAAGGGTTCACATCCCAGCCAGCTAACAAAAGGTTAATCATAGGGATGATGAACTTCATGAGCTCCGCTAGACCACCCATGAAAGGGTACTATATAATTGGGTAACAGTGGCATGTGAACCAGATATCTCATCATATGCAGAGCCAGTGTGTGAAGCCAGTGGAGTAAGACGATCCTCAACTGATATGGCCAAACACTTCACATGGCGAAATTGACAGCTTACATGAACTCCCCAAGCCCAGTCAGAATCTGTGTTTGGGAGAACGGTTGGAGTAGTGACCCATCAATTTAATAATCTTTTTTTTTGAGACTTTTTTTTGTATGAACTGAAGTTAAAATGTAACATTTGAAGGATGTCTTCTGTCTCAGTTAAAAGAATAAATTAATTGTTAGACTATGTATTTATGTCTTAATAGGCTTTGTTTGGTAAATGGCTGTTAGCGAATAGCTGTTAGCTGATTGGTTGGAGGGTATGACTAGTTGATAACATTAGCTAATTGTAGAAAATATGTTTAGTAAATTAGCTGTTAGCTGATAGCTTTTTGGTATAATTTCTTTTTTCAAAAAGTTAATTAACAAAAGTTATTTTGAGTAGCTTTTTTAATTTTAGTATTTTAGAGTAACAAAAAGCTGATTAACTAAAAACTTATATTGATTTTTAACTAAGTTAAACAGTTAATAATGGTCAAATAAGTCAAAATTAACTGATAAACTAACTATTTTACTAAATCAGGCCTATATGTTCACATGAACAATTAGACTCGCTGTTTTATGCGAAATGGAGCTGTTTGGGATGTCTGTCTACCGATGCCAAAGAAGTTACTTGCGACTGCTACTGCCACCATGCAAGCATGGCGGAGTGTCCACCACCGAGCAGCTACCCTAGCGCCAGCCGAACACACTATCGCCGCAACCAACACTGCCCCTACTGCCGAATTGCCACTGCGGGCCGAACACAATGCCCACGCCACTGCCTATGCTGCCAGCAGCCACCGCCTCCACCATTGCTGCAACCTGGACAGCCCCACGAAGTGCCAACAAGGCCAAGAAAATGTTATATAGATGCAGGTTATCATCATCATGGGACGAATTCGGCTACGGTCGGAGCAGTCCTCCTCGATGCCGACAAGCGCTACATTTCGGCCTTCAGCGCCCCCCTACTAAGTTGCTTCTCCCCTCTTATAGCCGAAGCGTTTGCATGCAAAGAGGCCTTGTCATGGCTAAGGGCGCGTGGAGAAGAGTCTATACAGCTACACACAGATTGCCAAACGTTACAGTGTTACCTATCCGCACCAGACACCCCGTCTCGATCATACATTGGGTATGCTATTGATAGTTGCAGAATTTACATGTCTGCTTTTGGTTCTTGCTCAGTTACTTTTATTCCTAGATTACAAAATTTACTAGCCCATACTTTAGCTACTACAACTTTTAATTCTACTGTGGCTATGTACTGGGACGACGTCCGCCTGACTCTATTTCAGTTTATCTATAAATACAACCGCATTAGTTGATTTAAAAAAAAAAAAAAAAAAAAGAGACTCGCCGTTTTATTTATAAAATTTTGACAATGTGATAAGATTGGACCACTCTAATCCTACCGTTCTGGTCTCATTACTCTCATAAAAAGAGTCTTAGTTGTCTCAACAAGAATTATGTTTTAAAATAAGATTTTGTTTTTTAAAAAATCTTAGTTATGCTGAGCCTAAAGAACAACCCCACATGCATGTTTGATGACCTATATGTACTCACAAACTTAAGAGCAATTCGGTTTCCTACAATATTGGTCTCCAAGGTCACTACGCAAGATATTTGCCATGCTTGGAAACATAAGTGAGCTTATCAGTTAATTTTAATTTGTTTGACCCCTATTAGCTGTTTTACTTGGTTAAATAGTTAATATATATGTTTGATTAATTAGTTTTTTGTAACAACTTATTGCTCTAAAAAGTTAAAATTCAAAAAGCTACTCAAATCAGTTTTTTTTGGATAAGCTTTTTGATAAAGTTATTTTGTATGTAATCAGCTATCAGCTAACAACTAATTTACCAAACATCCTTTTACAATCAGCTAATGCTATCAACTAGTCAAACTCATTAACCCAATCAGCTAACAACTATTTACGTTTATGCAATTCTTAATGTAGACCCTAAACAAATTTTGGGTTACAAGAGAACCCGCAATACTACTCGAGTGTGTCACTAGCTGATCGGCCCAAATCAAGACCGCCCGCTTTTGTTGAGAGTCAAACTTGTAACATTGTAGCTACTAAGTTAACGGTCTAAACAACTTAATTAAGGTTGCCCATATCCTATATTGAGCATACTTATTTCATCTTTAACAAGACCCCATCCACTTTTAAACAACATGAATATCATTATTTTGAATTTAGCCCCTACTTGAGTTCATCAATCCCTTGCTAGATATACATGAGAGGAGAGGAGGAGAAGAGAAAAGAAAGAATTTTGCATTATTTGGGAATGAATGCATGGTTTAGTCAAAAGAGATAATGATGATGCAGAGGAATTATATAGTGTTGTTTCATCTTAAGAATATGGCCACACTAGTTGAGAAAAGCCCATCCACAAAATTCATCTTCAAAGAGTAAATAGTAACAATAATAATAACAACAATAATAATAATTTATATTCCTCTTGTTCAAGAAGAATCAAACAGCAACCTGTTTGTCTTCTCCATCTGATCTTCTTGTCCCCTGGCCAAAAAGAAACAAAAGCTTTAATTTTTGAGCCCCAAATCAAAAAGAATCATCATCATCTATCAAACCAACTCCTTTTCATCATTTTCTTCTTCTTCTTCTTCCATTTCCATTTCGCCATCTTCTTCAACCCCAGTACTGCATTTATTGTTGCAAATCTCTGTGAATTCGCCATTTTCTTTGGGGCTCTCAAGTGCCCTCTTCTCTTGCTCTTCTTCATGATCGCTGCTCCTCTCCCCGGACTTTCCCCTGTTCACCTCTGCTCTCGCTCTCAAAACCTGCGCCAATTCCCCCACCGCCGCCTTCTTGTTTCTCCGGTTCTTTATCAGCACCTCACTGATGTCCGCCGGCGTCATCTCCGCCGCCTCAATCACGTCCTCCAGCTCGCCGGAGAGGCTGGGGTCCTGGTACCCGAGGTAGTTCTTGAGGAGAATTTTCAGGGCCGGAAAAGTGCAGTAGCTCATGTGGATGTGCATGTCCATTCTGCCGCTCCGGAGCAATGCGGGGTCGAGTTTCTCGACGTGGTTGGTGGTGAAGACGAAGATCCTCTCGCTGCCGCAGCAGGACCATAATCCGTCTGTGAAGTTGAGGAGGCCGGAGAGGGTGATGGTGTTGGTGGCTCCGTCGTCTCCGGCGGTGTTATTGCCGCCGCCGCAGGCGGCGGCGGCGGCGGAGAAACGGGTGTCCTTCCGGGCGTAATTATTGGCGGCGGGTTTTTTTCTGTTGGCGAGATTGATAGAGCAATCAATGTCCTCGATTACTATGATGGATTTGGAGCTTGTCTTCATAAGAAGCTTTCGGAGCTCGGAATTTGTGTGGACTTCGGTGAGTTCCAGGTCGTAGATGTCGTAGCCCAAGAAATTGGCCATGGCGGCGATCATACTGGACTTTCCGGTGCCGGGAGGGCCGTAGAGAAGGTACCCTCTTTTCCAAGCTCGCCCGGTTCTCTGATAAAACGCTTCCCCGTTCGCGAAATCCTTAAGATCCGCCATGATTTCCTCTTTTCTTTTCGGGTCCATGGCGAGCGTGTCGAACGTGCTGGGGTGCTTGAACGGGACGGACTCCCAGGGGTGGCCGCGGGAGTCCAGAGATCCGCCGCGGGAGTTGGTGTAGAGCAACCGATCTTGGTTTTTGCGGCGTATCTCGTTGGCCTTTTCCATTACGAAGTCGAGGTAGGCGCCGAGGACGGTGGCCTTGTCCTTCTTCTTCGCGCGGAGGAGGAACCCGCGCTTCTCCTCCGGGAGGGGTCGCCACGTGAAGGCGGTGGACTGGCGGGGGGTGACCACGTGCTCCCACACCACGCTCACCCCGTTGAAGGTGTCCGCCAGGGAGTCGTTGTTGCTGAGCCCGAAGGTGATGGTGGTGGAGTTGAGGCCGCGGGTGAGGCTCAGCCGGTTCCCGGCGCTGGCGCCGGCGGCGGAGCTGCTCAGGTAGAGCTGCACGGCGTTGTACAGCTCGTTGGTGTTCACGCCGTCGATCTCCGTTATGTCGTAGTAGCAGTAGGCGGAGAACCAGCTGCAGAGGCGGTGTAAGAATTTCACGGTCGCGAAACGGAGCTCCGGCGGAAACACCGTGTGCAGAAGGCTCTGGCAGAAAGCCCAAACACCCATTACTGAAGCCAGTGTCGTCCAAAACTCCTTCATTTTTTTTTCCTTTCACGGCAGCAGCATTGATGGCGGCGGCGGCGGCGGCGACGGCGGAGGATCGGAGGAGATCGAAGTGTTTGAGGAGGATTAGGATTAATGGATATGGATTGATTTATAGAGGAGGTTGATGGGTTCTTCAAATCTTGAAAAATCAAAATAATGAAATTGAAATTAGCCAAGAAAATAGATTGTTGGCTGGCAGTCTGGCACGCCAAAGCCAGGAGGGAAAAAGGCCAAAAACAACCAAACAAAGTTTTTGGATCGCTGAGTTAGCTTTGCATACACATATGGAGAAGGATCATATTGGAAATTGTTACCCATCCAAATATTATTATTTATACTCTTAAAAGGATATGCTCACATTTTTTAATACTTCCTAAATTTCACCTATATGACCAATTGAACTGTTTATACGGACAATAATACAGTTACTTATCAATTAATTGATGAGGATTAGTCACTGTTTGACAGTGAAAACCATGGATATACTAAAAAAACAATACATAACTACATCATGAGGAACAAAAAGGAGGGGGAAAATACATGCTGCCGTTTTAATGATAAATCAATACATTTAAGTTAGAAGTGATCAATCATTATATCTACATTGAGAGCTTATAATGAAAATAAAGTAGAACTCATTCAAAATAGTTTTCTTATTCAACCAAACTAATATGTATTGGCGATTGTTATATACAACCAAACTAATATGTATTGGCGATTGTTATATACAACCATTTATTAATGTTAAATCCTCCCTTAAAACTTTTAACATCATTTAGTAATGTGTACCTTTTTTTGGAAGGTCATAAATTCGAGCCTTGGGGGCAATATTGATTCTTTGTATTTTAGTAACCTCAATGGGAATTGATATTGACTCTTTTTTGTACTTCATAGGTTGAGATAATAGTTATAAACAAATAACAGAGTCAGTAATATTAAAAAAAAAAAAAAAGTTAGGTACTATATATATTTCAATTTGTTTAAACTATTTAGTTTTTCAATTTTTTTGTTACATGTAATTTTAAAAAAATATCTTTAACTCATTTTTAAAGTTAAATTTTAAAAAAAAAAAAAAAAAAAACCGCATTGAAAGTGGATCAACTATGGCTACATTTTTCTTTTTTTTTTTTTGGGTATATGGCTACATAAAATTTAATTCATTCAATATTAATATTTTTATTCAAATTAAAATATCTATATTATTTACAACACTTGCATAGAAACTCTAATCAAGAATTTTATGTTGCTAAGGGGATGCGATGGGAAGGTATCTACACGTTTACTGGCGATTTGGTTGAAATGAAGGAATTAGGGTGGAAAGGAATTGTAATTCGGTGGGAGAAGAATAAGGTAGAAATAAAGTAGGAATTTAAATTACAGTGTTTGGTATGCAAAAAAAAATTACAAGGAATTGAAAGGGAATAAGTAATACAATGACTGAAATGCCCTCATGTACTAATAATAATAATAGATGTTAGGGACAAAAATGTCTTTCCAATCTCCAATTCAACACTGAATTACAATTCATAGGGAGGAGTCCGGAATTGTAATTCAACATTTGGAGGGAATTGCAATACGGAATTCACTCCAACCAAACGGCGTAATTGTGGTCTACGCGGAATTGCAATTCAACTACACTTAAACTACCTCCAACCAAACAGCCCGTTAAAGAAGCCGAGGCCCTCAGTATTCATGAAGCGCTGAGTTAGTTAAAAGGTTTAAATTTTGATTATCTTGATGTTGAAATTGATGCTCAATAAGTTTTTTTTTTCGATTTAAATACTACATCTTTTCATTCTTCTTTTAAGTTATTATTTTTTTTTAAACCAAAGATAATCGTATTATTAAATCAGCTGTTCAATACATGAAGGAACAGAAAACAATCAACAATTAGGATTAAATGTTATTTAGGTTAGTTTGATTATTGATGATGTGAAGGAAATAGCTAGTACTTTTAGTGATATCTGTTTTCAATTTGTTAAATGATCTGTGAATTGTGCTACCCATACTGTTGCTAGGAGAGCCATTTTTGAGTCAGGTTGTGGTGAGTGGCTACATACACCGCATTTATTCATTGTTGATACTTTGGCCAATGATTTAATGAATTGATTTTTCCCTTTCAAAATATTTAATATAAATTTTAAAATGGGAAAATGACACCTTTTTCCCCCCTGAGTTATATACTTATAACACTTTTTCCCCTTGATTTATTCATGTAAGCACATTAGCCCCCTCAATTATTCTAAAAGTGACAGTTTTCCCCTTGATATATTAAATTGACATTTCTACCCTTAAAGTAAACATTTTATTTATCTTTCTTCTTCAACAAATTATTGCGTATACGTAGGGATGACCACGGTTCTGTTCGAACTGAACTGGACACTATAACAATCGAATTGAAAATTTTCGATTATGATTCAGATCATAACCCAATATTTGTATTTCAGTTTATTGAAATTATGAATCGAAAAAATTGGATCCTGAACCGTAAATCGGTAATTTCAAATCCGGTTCACGATTTTGAACCGTCTTTATTTTAAAAGTTTATTTTTATTTTAAAATAGTTTAAATTGAACAATAAATGTATTTTATTTTTTTCAGTTCGGAACATGAACCGGCCGTTCCGGTTTGCGATTTTAATAAACTCTAATTATCGGGTTTAGCTTCTAAAATGTAATTGGAATATTTCGGTTTGGTTGCTATAATGTATGTTTGGTTTGAATCAAATCGTGGTCATAATTTGTTGGAGAAGAAAAATAAATGAAATATTTGTTTTAAGGGTAAATGTGTCCATTTAACATTTCAGGAAAAAAAACAATCACTTGAATAATTCAAGGAGAAAAGTACTATAAGTATATAATTCAAGGGAAAAAAGTGCTATTTTCCCTTTTAAAATGGTAAATTTTTAATAGTGAATCAAAATAGATTAACCTATCCAAATAACTTGTATTTGGAGCTATTAGCCTATTATATTATAAGTTGCCAAACATAACTTACAATTTATTTGAGCAAATTAAAACATCATCCAAGTCTTTTTTTTTTTTTTTTTTTTTTTTGCTGTTGGTTTTCAACTGATTTCAAATTCATCTAAAACCACAAAAGTTATGCTTTGGGAGGTCCGTGAACAAAGAACCGAACAGAATGATTGACTAGTTGACTAAGGTCGTTATTCTACAAGATAAAGGGTTGATGTAGTTGAATAATCTACCAAATATTTTAAATAGAATTCTTCGGGAGAAGTTAATGAGACTAGTTAGATTTGATTGAGAACCATATTAGACTAAAGCCTTTGGCTTCTCAATGTCTTCCACTTCTTTTGTATTCAATAAAAAAAAAAAAAAAAAAAAAAAAAGAAGCAAGAACGAACTGATCATTGTTTTTAAATACTTCCTCTATCTCACTTTTATTTTTGTTTTTTTTTTTAAAAAAAAAAATCAATTTCTCATACTTCATCTATCCCAATTTAATGTATATTGTTATGGTTTTGGTAAACAACTAGATTAACTTATGTTTACCAGGGCTATGTGGTCTAATGGTACCCAGGTTGGACTTTCATTTGGAAGGTTGTGAGTTTGAGCCTCAGTTCAGTAGGTTGAGAAAGTATATGAACAGATACTACAATGTAATAGAGCTAATAGCATTAAAAAAAAAAGATTAACTTATGTTTTAATATTTGAATTTCTTAAACTTTACAATTGAACTAAAAATAAATTAAATATTAAAATTTGAATAGTTTATTCTAACTCTCTTTTTTTTTTTTTTTTATCTGTGAAAGTAACATGGTAAATATATTAATTCAGTAACCGGGCCAAAAAGACCGGAGGAGTTTAGTCTAACTAATCATCAATAACCTAATACTTTCATTGATCCAATACAAAAATCTTCAATCGTTATGCTGTGCATCCGTATGCACCATGCATGGTGCATACGGATGCCAAAACGACGTCGTTTTATTAAAAAATGCGCGTTTCCCCTTTAAAAAAAATTCAGGTTCGATTCCCAGCAACAACATTATATTGTTCATTCATTCTGGAATTTTAGTTCATAGATTATGGAATTATAGTTCATTGATTATGGAATTATAGTTCATCGATTATGGAATTGTAGTTCATCGATTCTGAAATTTTAGTTTATAGATTATGAAATTTTAGTTCATTCATTCTGGAATTTTTAGTTCATAGATTAGATTATGGAATTATAGTTCATCGATTATGGAATTATAGTTCATCGATTATGAAATTTTAATTCATATATTGTTGCTGGGAATCGAACCTGATTTTTTTTTTTTAAGGGAGACGCGCGTTTTATTAAAACGACGTCGTTTTTGCATCCGTATGCACCATGCATGGTGCATACGGATGCACAGCATAATTTGCCAAAAATCTTAGTCATGAAATCATGATCGAGTTGAGCGTAATTAATTAATTAATTAGTACACTGTGCAAGATGAATGGGGCATTGGGACCTAATGGTATGTTGCAGATTTGGAATTTTATTATTATTATTATTATTATTATTATTATTATTATTATTATTATTATTATTATTAGCATTTTGTACATACAAAAAGTTCATGCTTAATATTAAAATACTGATAAATAAAATTAATTAAATTTTTATTTCAAATTATATTTCGTATGGTAAATTATAATCAACATATTTATAAAATGTAGAGAAAAATAAATAATTTTTATTTTTTAAAATAATAATGTAAACAATTTTCATAACTTCTATATTTACAAAAAAAAATGAAAAAGAAAATATAATAATATATATAATACTGATTTAACTCTCATATATATTGAAATATATACACAAATAATATATGTATTATACTCACACATATATGATTTACCATTTATAGATATTTAATTAAAATATAATCTATAAATAAACTAATTCTATAACTAAACTAATTGTTTTTTTTTCTAGAATAAGAAATTAATTCATTAAATCAGAAAAAAGACAATCAACAAGATAATGAGGAGGATCATCAAACCACTTCCCGCAACCTGACACAGAAACGGCTTCCCTAGCAACAATGTGGGCAGCACAATTCGCAGATCGCTTAACAAATAGAGTCTACTCCATATATAGCGGAAGCAACTTCTTTAACATCATCAACATCATAAATAATTGTTATAAAATCATAAATAAACTAATTGTTATATTATGATTTTAATAAAATGATAATTAAGGAATATGAAAAATATATGGTAGATGTAGACATGTAGGTGTATAATAATAGTGGTGGAGTTATTAATGTAAGAATTCATTAAATAGTTATAAAATTATTAGTGC